CACAGAGACTCATTATGAAGCACTGGCCAGAACCTTTATTGTTAGCATTCAATGAGCTTGTTCAGATATTAGACATGGTATTGTTCACATAATAAAATCTGCTAGAAAACAAAACAAACAAACATAAAAAACTACAAAAATATCAGTAAGTTCTGGGATATGAAAATAATAATAAAAAAACTAGATTTTAATTCCATATTTTAAAAATAGCTACAAATTCCAGATACGACCTCCACATAAAATGATAGGCAAAGCAGATGATAGATAGGCTCAGTGCTCAGAATTTACCAGTATACTTGGTACTTTACAAGTATATACAATTACTATGTATCAATTACAAATAAAAGTTAAACTATTTTAATTAATGGTAAGAAAGTTAAGAACTGGGTATAGGTGCTAGAGAGACGGCTCAGCAGTTAAACGCACTGACTCGTATCGAAGAGGACCCTGGTTCAATTCCCAGCATCCATAGACCCACAAAGCAGTTCCAGGGGGTTAATACACCCTCATACAGACATACATGCGAGCATAATATCAATGCACATAAATGTAAATAGATCTTTTAAAATAAGAATGAACTGGGTATATTGTTCAATAATATTGTGCATGCTTAAGAAATATGAAGCTCTGAGTTCAAAGTCAAGCATCACTCACTGACTCTCTACAAAGCTTCTGCATTACCTACGAGCACATGTCGCTACAGATCACACCATGGATGGCCAAGTGCAGGACATCTTGGAAGCTGTCTAGTCCATGCCCATTCATAGCAGCGGATGGAGAATCATTTCAAAAAGGCCTAAGCTGCACATTACTATAACCATCAGCTGAACAGATAAATCATTAATGCTGTAATGTATCCATATCTACTATACATTCAGGTAAAATTCATAGTTGGAAAGACAGCTGGTATTGGCATTAAAGAATTTTGCTCCCAATTTCAAAAGAGAATTAAATTTAGAAATGAAAATCTGTATTATCAGAAAGATGGAGAATACTTACAAATCAAATAGGGATAAATCTTCATTGATGTAAAATGTGATGTGAATCAGAAAATTAGTTCATATATAAACATATATTACACTTGATCTCAACAAAAAATGAGGCGTTTACATACAATATTTCTAATAGTCAATTTGAGTACCAGACTCTAGAATGTTCTAACATGATATAAGACAAGTTATATATAGTTTTGGTCCACATTAATTTGTCTGTTAATAGCACTGGTACCTAACAGTTTGACTACAATAATTCTTCACATACCTTTCAATCAAAGATGAAATAATAACAATGGAAAACAATTTCCACATAGAGCTGCATCTTGTTTTCTTTTGCACAGTTCTTGTAGAATATTCAAGTTCATTATATAATGCAAACAGATTCAGTGAACTTGTTCATCATCTGATGTTCAGATATATACTTAAGAATTCATTTTATCAGAAATTTATAATTGGTATGAAGCAGAGTAGTGAATTTACATACCTACAAATCTCACAAGCAAGTAACATAACGACTTTAAAATACCTCTGTCAAAATGAATATGCTAGCAGAGATTTCTGTGAGGTAGGAAGAAACTCAGCACAATTGGAGGACATATGAGTCTACATAGTAAATTGCAAGCGAGCTAGATCTAAGTAGAGACCCCTTGTCAGAGAAGGAAAAGAAGGCAAGGAGACTAAGATAGGGGCAGAGGAGAACACTGTAGGAGAGCAGGGTAAGGACAGGGGAGAACAGGGTAAGAGCAGGGAAGAACACTGTAGGAGAGAACAGGGTAAGGCAAAGCAGAACACTGTAGGAACCACAAATTGCAGTATCGGTCTACAGAACCCAAGAGAAGAAACACAACTAAGAGCAAAGTTACATATCTTGAAAACCAAATTGAAAAGCAAGAACTGGCTCTATTCACGAGTGGCAGAAGATGAGCTAAGATTAGAGCACTCCTGAACTAATTCCTTAGTTCTTACTTGAAATGTTCACTCAAGAAAACATACAGTACATTAAGTAACAGTAAAGGGTAAATGTTTTTAAAGTAAGATAAAAAGTTAGAAATCTGAAGTTTAGATAACTTCAAGAAGTTGTCTAACATTATTATTATAAAAATAAGTGTTATAGAAATCATATAAACAAAAATATAATCAATTTCCAGAAGTCATGAAATCGTCATTGATATAAAGTTGATAAACTGTATACTCATTGTTCCATGGTCATCAAAGATAAGCTTTAAATTCAGATAGAAGAGAAAATATTCATCATTCTAAGATGTCTTGTATGCTTTGTCCAATATAATTTTTTATAATATAAAGTAGTCTAGGCCTTTAAGATGGCTTTCCTCTTATTGGAGGGGTGGAGTAAGGAGAGGTGCAACAAGGGCGGTGCGGTGAAGAGGGGACTTGGAGGTGGGGAACCAGACTGGAAAGAGTTAAAGACAAAAGAATAAAAACAATTCAGTTCTCATCAAAATAGGTACCCTTGAGATGTTAATATCAAGCTGACAAGAAGCTGCATGCTGTAGTCAAGAACAGTGATCACGAGCAGACAGTGGCAACATGACCCCCAGTATCCATGGGAAACGCTCTCAGCAAGACATCCTTCCCATGGCATCAGTCATGTGTGCAGAGGTAGATCAAGCTTGGAAGGTGCAGGTTCTGGTTTCCTCTAAGTTCTCATACTCATTTCCCTACACTTGCTATCAACTTGACAATCACCCTTGACTCAAACCTTTGACTTGTCTAGCAAGGGCATTTCCTAGACTGGTTTAACTGATATGGTAAGACACATACTAAAGATGAGCAGGATCATTCTATGAGACCAGGTCCTCGACAGAATAAAGGAAAAAATAAACATGACTTTCCCACCACCTCTCTTCCTCTCATAACCCCACCCTGACCCCAGTTCTTCTTAATTGTGGATATAATGTGAAAATAATGCTAGCTTGCCCGGGTTTTCTACTGCTATGACTTCCTGACCATAGTGGATTGCATCCTCATTCTATGGTCCAAAACAAAAAATTGCTATTGTCAAGTGTTTAGTCACATAAATGTGAAAGTGTAAAATCCAATGTAAGGCTATACAGCATCTATTCTAAATGAATAATTTAAATGCACAGTGGATCACTGAGATGTGTAGACTTGGGCCCTAGTTACTTTTGATATGGGTGTGTATTTGTGTACTATGTGATGTTTATTTATAAGTTTTTATAATAAAGCTTATCAAAAATAAAAATAATCAATGCTTAAAAGCTCCAATATTTAAAAAAAATTGACAAGAGAGTAATATGATGAATATCCTTTTCACTCCTGAGGTGTTCTACAGGCAGTTCTCAGAACTTTATGGGGAGGTAAGCAAAAGGTGTCAACCAAATAAGGTGTAGAAAAAGTTTAAAGGAAGGAACGTACAATATGTTAAATACAGAGTGAAGATAGGCAAAAACCAATTAGTCAACTTGAATTGTCAACAATGTATCAAATATAACTCCATTATGTCCCAGAGGTTATTATTATACCCTAAGATATAAGCAAAAAAATACTGTTTTTTTTTTTTCCTAAAATTCCTACTTTAAGATACCATTAGAAAGCAGTTTTTGCATTCCAGGAAAATCTGATATAATGCAGCAGCTGTGAAAATTTATCTTTTTCATTCCGCAGGCCACTACTGCAGTAGGAATAGGACATGGTTAGCCTCAGATACAAATGGTAAACGGACTCAATTAGAAAGAGTGATTCTTTTTAAGGATTCAATAATTGTAAAAATTTGTCATAGCCAGAACCTGGAAGCAACCTAAATGACCCTCACCGAAGAATGGATAAGGAAAATGTGGTAATTTACACAATAAAGTACTACCCAGCAGAAAAAAATAATGACATCTTTAACTTTGCAGGAAAATGGATAGAGCGAGAAAACATCATTTTGAGTGAAGTAACTCAGACACAGAAAGACAATTATTACATACTTATAAATGGTTTTTAAAAATAAAGCAAAGAAAACCAGCCTAAAAATCACAATCCCAGAGAACTTAAACAATGAGGACACTAAGGGCAACATATAGATCTAATCTACATGGAAGTAGAAAAAGACAATCTCCTGAGTAAATCGGGAGCATGGGGACCTTGGGAGAGGGCTGAAGGGGACGGGAGAGTAGCACAGAAAAATGTAGAGCTCAATAAAAATCAATCTAAAAAAAAGAAAGAAATTTCCCAGTTTTCTTTGGTTTAAAATTATATCAAATCATTCAATTATAGTGCTATTTAATATTCAAATTACATTGAAATTCATAAAAGGTATGTCCATGAGAGAAATTGTTTTAAGAAAACAACACTAAGTAACAGTGAAAATAAATGTCATTTATGATGGCAATTATAGCCAACCTAAAAAGGATCACTTGATGCTGGGACAAGGGAGCAGAGAAAAAATGTTTGGCATTAAAAATAATTCTTAACTTTGATATGAAGTGCAGTTAATGCAAGCTAATGCAGCTAATCACCACGTATTTTCACCTCTGGGCCCCAGCCTACAAAAATCAGAAAAGGGAACAAGATCATTATCAAGATGTCTTGATGAGATTTATTTTCAAATGAATTCAGTTCCTCTCTCATTGTCAAGAAGACAATATTTTCAATTTCATGAGATGGACTCAAGTGGATGATTAAAATGAGAAATGAGATGGACCATTGCAGTTTTCAAGAACTCATAGATATACAAAAAAATCACATATATACCAAACTTATCAGGAGTGTACTTGTTTTCCATTTATATGTTATATAGAAAATTTACAAACATATTTTTCAAAAGGCCTTTGAACTCATATAAGTCCTAACTTTAAATGCATCCGTTTAAATCAAGACAATTTGTCACAAATACCTTCAGGCTTAAAAAGAAAAAGAAAGCAATATGGCCATTAAATGCTCAAAATGAAGAGTGTTGTCAAAAAGCTTTCTATTTTCTCTCTTGTTTTGCACAGTAAAAAACTCCCAGCAAATAGACTTAATGAGACACATTGTACTCACCAAAACAGCAAACTGCTCAGGTTCACTTAAGTTGTTATAGTCACTCCTGAACTGGGACAATGAATTCAACTGCTCTTCATCAGGAAGATGCTTTAGTAAGTTCTAAAAATTAAAACCAAAGAAAAGTACCTTCACATGAAGCTCTCGAAGTTTGGGAAAATAAATAAGCAACCTATGGAAAGGAAACCAGTCTAGAAAATAATTTTATTTATTTCTAGATAATGATGTGGGAGTGATTTCTTATTAATAAAGAAACTGCCTTGGCCCATTTTATTGGATAGAAAATTAGGTAGGCGGAGTAGACAGAGGAGAATGCTGGGAAAAAGAAGCTGTGTGAGGAGTCGCCATGGTTCTCCCGCTCCAGACAGACGCAGGTTAAGATCCTCCCTGGTAAGCCAGCTCGTGGGCTACACAGAATATTAGAAATGGGTTAGAACAATATGTAAGAGCTAGCCATAAGGAACTGGAACTATCCGGGCCAGGCAGTGTTTGAAAGAATACAGTTTCCGTGTAATTATTTCTGGGCATAAGCTAGCCATGCGGGCGGCCGGGTGCCGGGGACGCAGCCCTGCTGCCGCTCCTATTTCAACAGATGGCGCCCAGACGTGATGGCTAAATCCACTTAAAAACCTGAGAAGGCTTAAAAATAAGGGAGAGAGAGTTTAACACAGATTTTTGCTGTTTTGTTGGTGGCGTTCTGTAGAGAGATTCCTGATTCAGCAACCAAAAAAAAAAAAAAAAAAAAAAGCCGCGTCATTTTAAAGCGCTGCTTCCTGGGGCTGTGCTGCCAGCGTGAACTCTGGCTTTAAAGCATTTCAAGGCTTTTATGGGACTGGATGTTTGTGTTCCCGCTTGGGATCGGAGGAGAGTGCTCTGAGACTGTGCCGATGGCTCAGCGCTTCCCGCCTGCACCTGGGCAGACGGCAGAATCAGGCTTAGGCAGGCGGAAGAGCATGGCGGATTCCTGCCGCTATACAGAGACGCATTTTCAGACTGCGCAGTGCTCTGCATGTCAGATTTGGCTGTAACTTGGATGAAAAGAGTTTCTGTGCTGCACACTCAGTCTCAGAGTTAAACTGCTGAGTGCGGCTCCAATGTGGACTTGCTGTGTGCCTGAAACTGTGAATGGTTCAGGGGCACCAAATGACTCTGAGGCAGGAGCGGCTGCTCCATGCTGAACTGTGCTGATCTCAGGCAGGAACTACCGTAATTACCTTAAAACCGTGCAGTTAAGGTTTAGACTGGGCAGGACACAGGCAGTACCGTATTACCTGTAAATGGTGCAACTTAAGTTTTTAAGAAATGCTTAACATTTTAAGAAATGCTCCTGTATAGTAAAGAAATTACAGATTCACAATAAAACAGATTCAGACACTGTTGGATAAATGTACGTAGGCTTGGGAAAGAGAAGAAAAAGAATATAAAGAATAAAGTTAATGTCTTAAAAAGAAAAAGGGTAAAGTCTTTAAAGAGACAGAGTACAGAAGTACAGAGAGTTATAGATTAAAAGAAATAAAGAAATATAAGCCACGTAAAAATGGAAAATTCACAGAGAGTCTGGATTATGTACATTGTGTTTTCTTTAAAATTTTTGACTGTGAAGGAGCTAAGTACAGAGAGACATTTCATTACATGGGCTGCCAATCTAAACCAAAATGGATATAAGGGTATTATGATTTCAGAATTTGGGTCTAAGGATATGATGCTTTGGAGAGGGTCTTCTTTTGTTTTTGCAGAGGATGAGACCCTGTGGATTGCATCTATTCCGATTTGGTATGATAGACCACGCCCTCCTGAAAGGTTGCTGTGAATACCCTCAAAAAATTGCTTCGCTCAATTGCCAACTGAGATGAAACTAGCATACAGGTTATATCATGAACAACCTAATTAACGACGCCCCTATTCAGCAGGAAGCAGTTTGTAGAGAAAAAACTACGCCCATGTTCCCAAATATTGTTTATAAATGTTCTTTTACATTTAAAGGGGGATATGATATAGATATGAATAATTTGCATTGGTATGGATTTTATGGTCAATTTTGTTATATGTATATGTATTTTTGATCTTGATTAAGGTATTGTGATTGTGTAGTTCATTTAAAAATGTAATGTATAATTAGGAAATATAGGTTGTTAATGGATAATCATCGCTAATACTTAAGCTTGTAGTCATGTTAGTTAGATTTTCTAGATATATAGAGAGATATTTTAGTTAGATAGGCATTCTTCATATCTTTCAAAGGCTGCAGAATATGGCATTTAAGATATTTTAATAACTTAGGGTTTTTCATGACAATGAGACACATTTGCTCCTGGCAGCACCAATCTATTTCAAGAGGAAGATGGGCATCGAAGAGAATCCTTATGGAGTTTGATAGCCATTTGGGCAAGAAACTGCTCTTGCCTGGACTGTTGCATAAACTGGACACAGAGAACCCGCAGAGAGAGGACTGCTGAACTTGCCTAAAGGTGAGATGACCTTTTGGGGTTCCTGCTTCATGAAAGAGTCTGTGAGACATTCTGCAGGACACAGCAAAAAGTGACTGAACTGTCTTTGGAATTTCTTGCTTGATGAGAATGTCTGCTGGATACTATGGGCCTGTAGGCCGAAGATGGATGCCCCAACGGTACAGAGGAACTTTGGGTGACTGTCCAGGCAGCGAGATGTCTCTGTCATTTCTAGAGTTTTCTTATTTCTTGTTTGATAGGTAATATTATATCCTTCTGGAGTCTTTGATGGAGTTGAAGAATGGTTAGTTATAGTTTTCCTTAGTTATGATAAGAGATAAAATAGATATAAATATTGTAACTGTAATTCTTACTTGATAACTGTTTTGTTATATGTAATTTTACTATGTTAAAGTTAAAGCCTTTCTTTTTTGTTTAAACAGAAAAAGGGGAAATGATGTGGGAGTGATTTCTTATTAATAAAGAAACTGCCTTGGCCCATTTTATTGGATAGAAAATTAGGTAGGCGGAGTAGACAGAGGAGAATGCTGGGAAAAAGAAGCTGTGTGAGGAGTCGCCATGGTTCTCCCGCTCCAGACAGACGCAGGTTAAGATCCTCCCTGGTAAGCCAGCTCGTGGGCTACACAGAATATTAGAAATGGGTTAGAACAATATGTAAGAGCTAGCCATAAGGAACTGGAACTATCCGGGCCAGGCAGTGTTTGAAAGAATACAGTTTCCGTGTAATTATTTCTGGGTATAAGCTAGCCATGCGGGCGGCCGGGTGCCGGGGACGCAGCCCTGTCGCTCCTATTTCAACACATCCCTTATCCTAAACCTTAAGCAACAAAACACTTAGATTGGAAACAGTAAATTTTACTTTTATCTATCCCAAAGTTATTATATATTCAAATCAAGAACTACTGAATATTTACTTGATTAGCTTATAATTGAGAAAGGAGAACTCAACCTATACCAAAGAAAGAGCTTTCTCCCCTGGATAAATATGAGCCATTACATTTCAGCTTTAGGGAATTAAATGTCAGAAATCTCAGGCAAAGCCAAACATATTTCAGCACTTTACTCAGGGGGATCAAAGAAATCATAAGTTGCTACCAAAGGCAAGGGAAAGAACAGGAAAGGATTGAAGGGAATTTTAATGCAGTGCTTACAAGAGTTAACTTACAAGGATCATGTTTTAATAATAAAAACTGAAGGCACCTTTAAAAGTAAATTTTCTGATGGGAAGAAAATTTTAGAGGTAGTGGAGACACAGGACAAGGAACCTTGCAGATAGAATGCACATACATTTATCTACCTGTATCTATATGCATCTACCATGTTCTAGAACCCACTGGTTCCTCAATTGTTCAGGGCTTTTCGCATTTCCAACCCTCACACTTAACCATCAAAAGAGCGAGCTGTTATTTAAACAAATAAGCAACCCCATGAAAGAAAAAAAATAGACAAAGCCTTTATTTCAAAAATACTCTGGTATTGTACTCTAACATTAAAATTAAGGGGAAGGATAAGGAAACGGTGGTCACAGATCCAAATTATGTATAGACTGAAGCAAAAATAAAAAGTGACTCTATAGAATGCTATCTTTATCTCTTGACAGTAACAAAACTCACCCAAAGCATTATTGGTTTAAAATAATTTTAGAGAGTGTCACACATCAAAAGTAGTTACATCAAAGAACATGCCACAGGCTTACCTCTAGAAAAACAGTGGTGGACTGACTAAAAACAAACAATAAAAAAGAGGCAGTTTAAGTATACCCTCAGAAAAACGTAGCCACTTTTAATTCTAGGAAGGTGAATGCAAGCATTACAAGTATGTGATTTTGCCACATAAATTTCTCTTATTGGAAATGCCTGAGACCAAAAGCCTGGCTATTTATCTTTGTTGTTCTGTTCAAGTTACAGCTACACTGTCAAATTCCTTGTTAAAGGGGACCATTCAGATTCTTAGCAATTTTTAATATGCTCATCATATCTCAGTAAATATTTTAGCTATTATTTATTTATATTTGATTTGTTCATAGGAATTTACAAATTTTCATCTTAGTATTTGGGTGTTCCATTGAGAAAAATCCATGATTTGTAAGAGTGCAGGCTCCACCTTCCTCTGCTTTCAGGTCCTTACTAAATGCCCATGAACGTTGTCTAGACATAGCAGTTAATCATCAGCATCCATGGTATATTGCCAGAAAGAACACCATCATGCTATTCACTTAGCCTCTCCGTCTGTATGCCATGTTTCAGTCTCCTCCACTTAAGTACCTTTGGCCTCAAACTCATATAAGACTATGTTCTCCCAATCTCATTTCTAGTTTTCATGAATCACAACAAAGCTTCACCTATCCTGCATTAAAATTACACATGTAAATGTCATTACTATTGGCAAAATATAGACTCCAAGAAGGTGAGGTCTCTGACAGACACTCATACAAATTATTATGCACAGTGTATACAATAAAGTGTTAGTAATGCTAATGTTTATTTTGAATACATGAAGAATGATGTACAAAAGTGGCATAAAAGATATACTTCTGACACATTGATTATGAACAGATTTTTGAAATAAAATCTTACTCTACATTCATGCAAAATGGGTGAATATTTTAAATTAAATGTAAGAGTTTAAATATTATGAAATTACTGTTTTATAATGACTATATAAAAGCCATAAATAGGGGGCTGGAGAGATGGCTCAGTGGTTAAGAGCATTGCCTGCTCTTCCAAAGGTCCTGAGTTTAATTCCCAGCAACCACATGGTGGCTCACAACCATCTGCAATAAGATCTGGTGCCCTCTTCTGGCCTTCGGCATACACACAAATAGACTATTGTTTAA